ACTGAGTCCAGTTATTCTATAACTTAAATAGATGTTGTGGCCTAGTTTTGGAGATTAACTATCAATTAATACTTTTTTTCCTAAGAATTTTAAAAAGTTCAAATCCATCTATTAACAAATGAACTTTTGGCATATGATCTGCTTCTAATTAGCAACGATTAAACCTGTAAAATGTAGTTATTATTCCTGTCCTTTACCAAAACAAAAAATTGGTTCTACAGTATCAAAATGTCTTAATGTCACATAAGAAAAAACAAATAAAAACTCATACATTTAAATCTCCCACATGGTTTTCAGCCAACAATTCTCAATTAAAAATAAAACATCTTACCTTTAAAATCAATTCTAGTGCCTTTCTTGTTCATTTTTATCTCAGAGCAGGAGTTGTTGGGGGCACCTTTCGAGTTCTCAAGGTAAGCTGAGCTTGCTCCTTTCTTGGAGGGATGAGGATCACAGAGTTTTGCATTAATCTTATAAAGCTCGAGGGCTTTAATAGCTGCTGCATTATTATCCATACGAAGAAAAGTTGGACAGGAAGCACAAAACTCATTCGTGCAGGCTTCATTTCCACAGCCCTCAGTTAACTGGTGGTAGTAGCGTTCTATTAGATGCTTTGCAGCTGCTCGCTTCCTGTACCAAACAGTCAAACAATAAGCACAGTGATTAGTATAGCTGTCATGTACAAAGCCCAACAGATCATCAAGGCAAAAGTTAGTCAAGCACTGAAGTGATTAACCTGTGTGCGAAGATGAGAAGTAGAAAATGGAGATGCACTATTTACCAACAACCCCTGACTAGTGAAATAGCTAATAAATATTTTCTAGGATATGATAAAGAATGTCAATGCTTACTGACTGCATTAACAGAGTATACACTCCTTTGGTTTAAAAGGGGGGAGGGGGGCTCGTCTGATGGTATATGTGCTTAAGTTGTTTAGTACAACAGCTGAAAAATCACCAGGTTTACAGCTAAGAGTTTTAGGATTCTATCATTTTAAAAATTAGCATTAGGAAAATCCAGTTTTCCTTTACATAATCACTATTTCATTTTTAACAGTTTGTAAACATTTGACTTACAGTTAACACAGAATATCTATCTGGAATAAAAACTATTTTTCCCAATTATCAACCACATGGGAGACTTAAAAATAAATTTGTAAGTGGAATATCCAAAGCTACTGAAAGAAAGTGGCTGCAGCCTGAGTGAGGTAGATCATGACTGTAATCAATCCCATAACTGTGGGAGGCTGAGGCACGCAGACTACTTGAGCCCAGGAGGTCAACACCAGCTTGGGCAACCTAGTGAGGCTACTCTCTACAAAGTGTTATTTTTTTTTAAATTAGCCAGGTGTGGTGGCATGCACTGTAGTCCCAGCTACTTGGGAGGCTGAGGTGAGAGGATCACTTGAGCCTGAAAGTCAAGGCTGCCATAAGCCGAAATTCTACCACTGCACTCCAGCCTGGGCAAGAGCTAGACTTTGTCTCAAAAAAAAAAAAAAAAAGGAAAATAAAAAAGAAAAAGAGGCTCCAAAGTATATAATCTTAAATCTAAAACTTGTCACTAAACCTCCTCCTTAGTTCCACATTACAAGATGGAGTATTTTAAGTTGCATCACTCAAAATCTTATATTCCTTTTACTCTGTGAACTTAAAGTACACAGATTAATGTCCTATTTCAGCTGTTACAAGAGAGCTACCAAAACTGAGGAAGGAATTATGTGATCAAGTAAGAAGTTAGATGACATTATCTCTATATTCAACACTAAAGAGTCTGTACTTCTACTAACTGATGATGAGAACACCATAATTTCAGTAGAATAAACTACTGGATCCAAAGAAACGTAAGTCATAGCTATTCCTTTTGGTCCCAAATTCACAAGTATGGAAATAAAAACTACGAAGAATCAAAATTATAAGAAAAATAATTCAGCTAATTTTCAAAAAATTCACAGAATTATCTTACTAACATGTAGGACTAAATGACCAATGGCAGAGAATTTACATCTTGCTAATCATGAGAAACTCAGTAACAAGACAGCAAGTAAGTGAAGAGACAAATGAGATCCAATTTTGTCTCAAAAGAAAGACTTTGACTGTCTAAACTATGCAGGTAGGTGACAAAAAGTGACAATTCACACAGATTCAATTCATTCTGGTGCTTATATTTTTTCAAATGTTCCATGCAAATTTACCACTCACTGCATGCAAACAGAGAAAAAAGAAAACCCACAAAGCACAGGTAAAAATTGCATAAACATGACTTAGAGACATTTTGTTATCTATGAAGCTATAAACAACCCAACCTGAAAATTAAAAACTGTTATCACAGATTTATCACTATGCAAAATATGAAAGTGAAAACATGTAAAAATAAAAGGGGAATGGAGAATCCAGAAACTTTAAAACATACATTGTTAGTCTTCAGTAAAGAAAGGGAGATAATGTCATGTTCTCCCAAACTACAGTGACTTCCCTGGTGAAAATGTAAACAGGTATTTCCTTTCTGGAGGAAAATAGTGAATACGTATCGAAAGTCTTAAAAACATGAATACCACATGAATGAGATTCTACTTGTGGAAAACAATTTGACAATTTTACAAAAATGCAGTTTCCATATCTGAATAAAATCAACATGTTTAATAAAAGATTACTTAAATGAACTGATAATAGGTCACACAATAAAATAAAACCTATCAAGATTGAATCTGACAAGGAACTGCCTAGTCTTCCTGATATATCACTAACTGACAAAAGTCAGTTACAAGGTAGCAGGTGTAGGATGAACCCATTGTTATTTCAAAGCATTAATAGCATTTTCTCTGGACGATGTGATTAAATTAGTTTTAAAACTTCTTTCATCTTTTGATTTCTTATTTATTCTTTCCATAATAAGGATGCTACTTGCATATTAAAAATTAATAACTATAAGGGAAAACAACAGTTTTAAAACTTCATATACATGATTTGAATGGCCCCAAGATATATTAAATTGTCTCTGATTTTTAAAAAAATTATAAAAGTCAAAATACTAAGATAGATATTTTTAATGTGAGCTTTTATACTAAAATAACTTCCCCAAAACCTGTCAGATACATAGTACTTCTTTACATACTACATAGTAGGAGAGTGATCAGCACAAACAGAATGAGACTGAAAAATCAGAAGACCTGCATTAAGTGTCATCCTTCTGTCCCTAAGTAGCTGTAGGATCCTAGGGAAATAACTGTCTGGGCCTCAGTTTTCCCAGCTTTATGAGTCCCTTCAGTTCTAATTTTAAGTTATTTTATGTAATAGGGAGGTGAACAAGAAACCAGTATTTGTTGGATGCCTGATAACATATTACACACACTGCGGGGCACTTTGACATAGTATCTGAGTATCATGATACTGAGGATTATCTTCAGTCCACAGCCAAAGAGAGAAATAGAACTGGAGTCAAATCACCAAACCCAGATCTCAAAGAAAGTACACAACCAAGACAAGAATAGGAGTCCAGGAGTCTTTCAGCTTCAGAGTCTAAGTCATTTTGACTATACTGTTTTGCAGAAGGTGATTCATTTCCAAACAATTATTTTTTAACATGAGTAATACTGAAGAATTCTATGGAAAAAAAATCTCATAACTAATGTGCAACTGGGAAAAAAAACTGAAGAATCATAATGTGAACCTCACATTTATGCATATATCTGGTACCACAAAGGTAGACCAAATTTCTTGAGGAAATGGAACCACCACATTCTGCAAAGCTAATTTATCTCTAATTTTCTGAGGACCTATGTGCTATGCATTCTATAGACATTCTCACGTTAGAGGGGAATAAACCTTAACAGTTAAGAGCTTGCATTCTGAGGCCAGATGCCCAAGTTCACATGATGGCTCTACCTCTTAATTAACTATGTGACCCTGAATGAGTTACCTGACCTTTCTGTACGTCAGTTTCCTCGTAATTTAAGTGGTAGTATCTACGAGCATTCTCATGATGAGAGTATTATTATTCTTCACATTATCAATTGTGAGAAAATTAAATGTGTTAATATATATAAAGTGCTCAGAACACTGCCTGGCATACTAAGCACTATGAAAGTGTTAGCTACTACTATTATTGTTGTAATTGTTATCACCCTCACAAGTGTATGAGTTAGCACTATAAACCTTCATTCTGCTGATGCTCAGAGAAATTACATCAATAAGTCATTCATCTAATAAGAGATCTGAACTCAGCTACTAAATTTGAGCTTTTAATAACTATTAAGAGGAGGATATGAAAGTAGACCCCTGTATTTGATCTGCCTTTCTGTGCCAAGTTAACAAACAGTAGCTACACTGATGAGACAGGACTAAAGGAAGCCAGGTCTGAAACTCCATGTTAATGGTGGAATCAACTATATTAAGCATTCTTCTTTTTCCTCACTCCAATGACACCTTAATTTATCTGACCTCATCTGTATTACTATCTAATTTAGGGTATGTAAAAGGCATACAAAATTTAGAGCACATAAAGGGGCCTCTATGTTGGAAAAGTATACACTAAACGACTTTTTGGTATAGTTCCTGTGCAAGGTTAATCCTTGTACCATATGGTTTACCAAATCATAGCTCATGAGTCAAACCGAGTTCATCACCTATTTTTGTATGTCTCTCAAGCTTAGAATATTGTACATATTTTAATGGCTGGAAAAAGTTTAAAAAAGAGTATTTTGTGATGTGAAAATTATATGAAATTCAAGTTTCAGTGTCCATCAAGTGTACTGGAACATACCCAAGTTCATTTATTTATAAATATACTATATATGATATGCTTTGGCTCTGTGTCCTCACCCAAATCTCATCTTGAATTGTACTCCCTTAATTCTCATGTGTTGTGGGAGTGACCGGGTGGGAGATAACTTGAATCATGGGGGCAGTTTCCCACATGCTGTTCTTGTGGTAGTAAGTCTCACGAGATCTGACGGCTTTATCGGGGGTTTCCGCTTTTGCATCCTTCTCATTTTCTCTTGTCAGTGCCATGCAAGAAGTGCCTGTCACCTTCGCCATGATTCTGAAGCCTTCCCAGCCATGTGGAACTGTAAGTCCAATTAAACCTCTTTTTTTCCCCCAGTCTCAGGTATGTCTTTATCAGCAGCGTGAAAATGGACTAATACAATATACTATATAGTTTATGGCTGTTTTTCATACTACAATGGCAGAGTTGAGTATTCTAGGCCTGCAAAACCTAAAACAAATACCACCTGCCTTTTAAAGAAAATGTTTGCCAACCCTTAATTTAGGATGTTATTTATCTCTGCCCTCCAGTGACCCTGCCATCTAATCATTTGGTCTCTTAACTCTCTCTCTCCCCTCAGCAAATAAGTAAAATAAAAGGTGTACCTTTCCCCAAGTATTATTAAAGAAAAGAGGAGAAGAGGGAGAGAGGGAAAGAGGGAAAAAGAAAGTAAGGAAAAGGAGAGGATGCAAAAGAAAAAGAAGGAAAGAAAGGAATTTCCCTGATGAGGTCCCTTTAGCAACACCTTATCAGCTGCTCATAATCAAAATTCCTGGAAGAGGAACTATAGCTTTACTTGCCATAATTTCTTCACATTACCTTGACTTTTCTTTTTACTCAAAAAAGTATGTTATAATGTGTTGATTTTTAAAATAAAAAAAACTTTTCTTAGTCAGCAATGAAGGTCAAGCGAGACCTTCTAGTAAAAGTCTTGTAAAGTTAGACACATGAAAATACTTATCCATTTCAAACAGACAATACTTTCCAATTTTTATTTCTATGACTGAATTAGTGGGACAGTGCTACAAACAGAAGTCCTATGGAATAAGTCATATTTGGAAGGTCAGTTTACCCTAGACAACTTGACAGCAATCAGTTTAAAAATGGTTTCACCTAGAGGGCTGTGTACTGATGTTAGCAATTAACTTTGAAAGGCATAAAAATTAAGATGGACTGATGATACAAGGATGGTTATAAGATAAAGCAATGTAAATATTAATGGCAGAATCTAGGTGACAGGCATATGCGTGTCAGCTATAAAATCTGTGTTCAACATTTTTTAGTTCCCACATATCAGTGAGAACATGTGATATTTGTCTTTCTGTGTCTGGCTTAGTTCACTAAAAAAATGAATTTACAGGACAATTGGAATATAAGCAATGAATACAAGCACTAAGAAGATGAGGCCATAGACAAAGCTGCCAGAAAGTGAAGATGTGACAGTGAACACTGAACAAATAAGATTAGAATTACAATTAGAATCAGAAATGACAAAAGAGAAATATGAACTGTGAGATGCAATATAAAAACTGATGGTGAGTAAAGCAAAGAATAAAAAATAAAAAGGGAAAGATTAAAAGGAAAACGTGACTATAAGTAGAGTGACCTTTATATTTACAGAAGGTACAGCAGAATGAACATGTGAGAAGTCTAAAAAACAGATATAAAATAGAAACAACTCAAGGCTTATATAATTAGTCTATAAAGCTAAGAAACACTGCTTAGTAATTTCTCGTAAGTGGAGCCTCTTTATTCTTTCTGGGATGTTGCAAAACTCCATTCCATCTCAAAGTTATTTTTAATGTAAAAATTTGTAAGAGTGAGCAATGGTATCCTAAATAGTTCTAGGCCTTGTAGAAATAGATTGTAAGAGACATCTGTGACATAGCTATATTCAGTACGATGTAGGGTCTGTTACAATGGGATGAAATGAATTTAGATTATTTCAAGACTAAACCTACAATTGTGAACTCTTTAGTACCATGAACCAAACAAAAACCTATTAAATATAGAACAAGACGATTTTCATGAAAAAATAAACACAAACAAATCAGTATTTTCAAGTGTTTGAAATATAGGTTAACCTTTAAGAACTGTTTTATTCATTTTTATAGTCTCAATGTCCAGAATGCTTGATATATGATAAAAAAAAAAAAGTAAAATTACACAACTAAATATTTATATAATTCATCTGTAAAATGAAAATCTGTTTTAACGTGTCATATTTCACAGTTAGGAGAATAAAAACCTCAAATCAACAAATTAACTTTACATCTTATAGAATTAGGAAATGAAGAACAAATTAGACTCAAACTTACCAAAAAAAAAAAAAAAGGAAATAACAAATTACAGTTAAACAAAATAGAGAAAAATAGAAAATTTTTGCAATAGAAAAAAAAAAATCAACAAAATTAGGAGTAGCTGTTTCATTGAAAAGATCAACAAAATTGGCAAATTCTTAGACTAAGAAATGAAGAGAATAGACACAAACAGCAAAAATTGGAAATTAGAAAGGAGATACAACAACTGCTGCCACAGAAATAAATAGGACCATAAAAGACTAATATGAACAACTATGCCCCAACAAATTTGATAACCTCTGAGAATGGATAGACACATCAAACCCACCAAGACTGAGTCACAAATACATACAACTTCTGAATGTACCTATAACTATCAGAGATTGAATCAGTAACTGTCCAACAATACCAGGGCTTCACTGAAAACTCTACCAAACATTACTCTTTGAAAAAACTAAAGAGGACAGAACACTTTCAAAATCATTATGATTTTGATAATCATAGTAATGCTAAGTAAGCATTACTTAGATATCAAAATCAGACAAATTTACTACAAGAAAAAAGAATCCCTAATAAATACTGATGCAAAAAAAATCAACAAAATACCAAGAAACAGAATTCAACAATGCATTAAAAAGAACATCCTTTTGTGATTTAAAAAAAGGCCAGATATGGTGGCTCGTGCCTGTAATCCCAGCACTTTAGGAGAGCAAGGTGGGCGGATCACCTGAGGTCAGGAGTGTGAGACCAGCCTGGCCACACAGTGAAACCCCATCCCTACTAAAAATACAAAAGCTAGCTACGCACGGTGGTGGGCACCTGTAATCTCAGCTACTCGGGAGACTGAGGCAGGAGAATCACTTGAACCCGGGAGGCAGAGCTGGCAGTGAGCTGAGATTGCATCATTGCACTCCAGCCTGGGTGACAAGAGCAAGATTCTGTCTCAAAAATAAAAACAAAAACACTCAATTTGCTAGAAAGATATGGAAATTACTTCAAAATAATGAAGGCCATATATAGAAAGACCACAGCTAATGTTATTCAATGATGAAACACCGAAAGTCTTCCCTCTAAGATCACAAACGGAACAAGAATGCACACATTCACCACTTCTACTCAACATACTATCAGAAGTCCTGCCAGAGTCAGCAATTGGGCAAGAAAAAGAAATAAAAGGTATTAAATGAGAAAAGTAAGAAGTAAAATTACTTCTGTTAGCAAATGACATGATCTTATACGTTGAAAACTCTAGCCCACCAAAAAGAAAAAAAACTGTTAGAATAAAGGATACAGGATATAAAAATAAAGTTACAGGATATAATAATAAAGTTACAGGATATAAAAACCAACATTAAGAGTTGCATTTCTAAATACTAAAAATGAAGAATCCAAAAAGGAAATTAATTTTTAAAATCCATTTAAAATGAAATCAAAGAGTAAAATACTTAGGGAATATTTTCAACAAGGAAATGAAAGACACATACATTGAAAATTATACAACATAGGCCAGGCGCAGTGGCTCACGCCTGTAATCCCAGCAGTTTGGGAGGCCAAGGTGGGGGGATCACGAGGTCAAGAGATTGAGACCATCCTGGCCAACATGGTGAAATCCTGCCTCTACTAAAAATACAAAATAAATTAGCCGGGCTTGGTGGCACACGCCTATAATCCCAGCAACTCGGGAGGCTGAGGCAGGAGTATCACTTGAATCCGGGAGGCAGAGGTTGCAGTGAGCCGAGATCGCGCCACTCCACTCCAGCCTGGTGACAGAGTGAGACTCTGTCCCTTCTCCCCCGCCCAAAAAAAAAAAAATTATACAACAATGCTGAAAGAAATTGAAGATAATATAAATAAATGGAAAGACATCCAAGTTTATGAATTGGAAGATTTAGTATTGTTAAGATGGCAATACTACTGAAAGCAATCTGCAGATTCAAAGCAATCCCTATCAAAATCCCAATGGCATTTTCTACAGAAATAGAAAAAAAAAAAAAAATCTTAAAATTATTACGGAATCTTGAAGGACCCTGAATAGCCGTAACAATCTGGACAAAAAACAAAGCTAGAGGCCTCCCATTCCCTGATTTCTAAAGATACTGCAAAGCTACAGTAATCAAAACACTATGGTGCTGGCATAAAGACAGATATACAGACCAACTGAGCAGAAGAGAGAACACAGAAATAGGGAAAAGAGGTTCTTCAACAAACTGTGTTGGGAAATCTGAAATCTAACATGCAAAAGAATGAAGTTGGAGCCTTATCTTACAACATATACAAAAATAAGCTCAAGATGGATTACAGACCTAAACTTAAAACATCAAACTATAAAACTACTACAAGAAAACATAGATAAAAAGCTTCATGACATTGGACTTGGCAATGATTTCTTGAATAGATCACCAAAAGCACAAGCAACCAAAGCAAAAATAGACAAACCGGGGATACATAAACTCAAAAATTTCTGCAAAGCAAACAGTAAACAGAGTAAAATGGCAACCTACAAAACAGGAGAAAATATTTCCATACCATGTATCTGTTATTTGGTTAATATTCAGAATATACAAGTAACTCCTACAATTCAACAACAAAAAATCTAGTTAAAAAGTGGACAAAAGACTTGAATAGTCATTTTTCCAAAGAATGTATACAAATGGCCAATAAGCCCATGAAAAGATGCTCAACATCACTGATCAGTAGGGAAATGTGAATCTAAACTGTAATGACATACCATCTGAAACCATTAGGATGACCACCATCAAAAAAACAGAAAATAAGTGTTGGTGAAGATATGGAGAAACTGGAACCCTTACGCACCATTGGTGAAAACGTAAAATGGTGCCAGGCACTATGAAAACAACATGAAGGTCCCTCAAAAAATTTAAAATAGAACTACCTCCAGTTCCACATATAAAGAGCTTGGAAGTCACCACTCCATTCTAACAGGTAAAAAATGACAAACTGAAAAACAATCAAATCTGAGATAGGATAAGTGAGGTCACAGGG